CTATCAGCATTTATTAACTTTTCCAATCTACATGTCTTTCAACAATGGCTGCATTTATTGATTTTGTCAAAATCTAACTGATTAACATTTAAGAATTCTTCCAATCTCCCAATCTTAAATTTCTTTATTTTTTGATTTAAAAAAATTAGCTTATATTAGTCTCCCCAACTTCCAAAGTATTACTCTCATAATAACACTTTAATGCATAAAATAAGTATAAAAAAAAATTCTTTGAAATCAACCACATATGAATTCCTTGAAAATCCCAACACATATGATTATTATCTTCATAATGACACTTTAATGCATGTAAGAACAAAGTATAAAAAAAATTTTTAATTTCGACACATATGTTATTATCAAATATTACAACTTTAATATAATATAATAAAAAAAATTCCTGAAAAGTCCAACACATATGATTTTATCAAAATATTAAACTTTTAATATAATATAAAAAAGGAAAAAAAGAAGAGCATTTTTAAAAAAAATTTAAAAATTCACACAGTTCACATATCTATTTACTATATATTAAGCAAAAGGGTTTTTAACCCAAGCCTGTGGGAGCTCCAATTTCCAAATCTAAATTTCCTATTTTTTTGATTTAAAAATAAAAACTAGATTTATTTAACTTCTCTTAACTCCCAAGTTTATCTCATTATATAACACTGTAATGCTTAAGAACAACCATAACAAAAATTTCGTTTGAAATCCAACACATATTAATCTCATCTAAAAGTCCCAACATATGATTATTATTCTTTAATAGACACTTTAATGTATTAAGAACAAGCATTAAAAAAAATTAATTCAAAGTCCAACACATGACATTGATATATTATCAAAATGCTAAACTTTAATATAATATAATAAAAAAAAGGACATATTACATTGGTTTTGACAAAGCATTCAAACCATATTGGATTTAATTATCAAATAGTTAAATTTTAATAAATAAAAAATGAAAAAAATAAACATTTAAAAAAAATTAAAAATCACAATCTCAACATATAATAGATAATTGTTAAACAACCAAGGTGCGTGACATGGGGTAGCTCCAATCTCCTAATCTGAATTTTTTAAATTTTTTATTAAAAAAAAAAACCTCAGCATTTATTGATTTGATTTCAAAATTCCTAATTAACAGTTTATTAACTTTTTCAACTACATTGTCTTTCAACAATGGTCCGCATTTATTGATTTTGTCAAAATTTACTATCAGCATTAAAATTCTTTCTCATATAAAATAATTATGGATAACAACCCGTTGTATAATTACTGCAGTACCTTTTTTAAACTTCTCCACTTACACTATGGTTATACTTAAGATTTGTCAAAATTATTTTTATAAAGAAAATCTTAAAAACATAATTGTATTATTAAAAAAATTAAAACAAATTTAATATCTATAATTATACTCGTGCATAGCACAGTGTATAGGCTAGTACTAAATATTAAGTAAAAGGAATTTTTAACCCCAAGTCTTTTGGAGCTCCAATCTCCCAATATAAATTTTCTTGATTTTTTGATTTTGAAAAAAAAAATCTTTAGCATTTATTATTTCTTCCAACTCCTAAGTCTTACCCTCATAATAACACTTTAAATGCATTAAAACAGTCATAATTTTTTTTTTTTTGAAATCCAACGCATGAATTTCTTGAAAAGTCTCAACACATATGATTATTATCTCTCATAAATGGACACTTTTAATGCATTAAGAACAAGTATAAAAAAAAATTCTTGAGAAAATCCAACACATATGAATTATTATCAAAATATTAAACTTTAATATATATATAAATAAAAAAAGACATTAATTCCTTGAAAAGTCCAACATTATGATTATTATCAAATATATTAAACTTTAATATTAATATAAAAAAGGAAAAAAGAAGACATTTTTAAAAAAAAAATAAGATAATAATATCCGTGTATATATTTATCATATATAGACCATGGTTAGGATAAAGATTGTTAAATTATTTTTATAAAAAATCTAAAAAACATAATTTAATATATTAAAAAAGAATTGAAACCAAATATAAATAATCTATAATTATCTCGTGTATAGAGTACGGGTGATAGGCTAGTACTATATATTAAGCAAAAGAGGGTTTTTTAACCCTAAGCATCTTGGGAGCTCCAATTCCCAATTGATTAAAAAAGGAAAAAAAAAACCTTGCATTTTATAACTTCTCCCAATTCCTAAGTCTACCCTCATATAACATTTTAAGTTTAATTAAGAACAAGCATAAAAAACAATTCTTTGAAATTCCAACATATTGAATTCCTGAAAAGTCCAACACATATGATTATATCCCTCCATAATAACACTTGTAATGCATTAAGAACAAAGTATAAAAAAAAGATTTCTTGAAAAGTCTAACAACATATGAATTGATCAAATATATAGAATTTTTAATTATAGTATAATAAAAAAAGGACATTGTAACTTTATTTTATCAATATAAAGTTCAAAATATTATTGATCACTTCATTATAAGATCAAAATCAAAACTCAAGAGAATTGCTTACCTCTTCTAACACCAATTTGATCCAAGAATGGCCCAGATTGCCTAACTAAAAATGCCAAAAGTTCTGGTACATCGAGCGGTGGAACTTCCTACATCATATATATAAGAAAAGCAGAAGAAAAGAAAACATTCAGCATAGTGTATTATAGATTGTAGGAAACTAGAATCATCAATATATCCAATCTATGACAAATGTCAATCAATCCTAAGGAACAAACATACTACACCACCACATATGAAATTTTGACTATGCCTATTGGTCTATAATTAAACCTAGGCCTGAGGTTTAGGCATCTACGTACGTGAGATGTTAGAATGCGATAAATACTGCAACATGAAACACATATCAAGGACACAATGGCATGTCAATATCCATTACAAAATGGTGTTTAACACAACCACCTTGAAAGAAGAAGAAGACGAAGAAGAAAAATGGCATTCATGTCCAATACAAACACCATATTGCAAAAAAATTTGTTTTCCCTGAAGAATGAAACACAATGTCTGCACAACTACAGCAGCATGAACTCCAACAGGACATGACCCTCACAATTAATGAGTACAACCACATATCATCCAACTAACAACTCAAACATAGGATGTAGGAAAAGGATTACAATAAACGTTGGAATCATAAGATTCATATTATTGACGGATGAGAAAACAACTTCCAGTCAACAGTGCTTATATGACTATTACGTCATTGTTGAAACAACTCTCCATTTTTTAGAAAATAAATAAATATATATTAAATAAAATTCAATATATTATCTCCTTTTCTTCCCCTAGTGCCTTCAGAAAGAAAATACAGATTATAGACTCAAAAAAAAAAAGTTCTAAAAAAATTAACACATTAACAAATGATACATGAAAAGGAGTAGTTCAATACTAACCTTTGAATCAGTTGGGTCCTTGCAGATTGCTTTCTGCAAAATAAATAATTGGGTAACAGATTAATAACGAACATATGAATCCAGCTTGCAATTCTAACGTAAAATGAAAAATAAGTAGATATGCATCAATTACTAACAAAGATAATGATCAGGAAATTCTATCATCTAGAAACAAGTTTATACATTATTACCAAGCATTCACTTCCTATATTGGAATGAATCAAAACACATGTTATAGTTAGCAGCAACATTCGCACTATTCTTATGTTTATGGCCTTCATTTTAATGAAAAAATGTTTATGCCTTAGGACATAACTAGTTCCTTGCATACCTTCAATGGACATGGTATGCCACTTGATGCATAAATATTTGATCCCAAATAATAGCCAGCCTCGAAAGAACATAACAAGAGTACAAGACTGACAATGTATGAAACTTAATAGTCAAAACTACTGCATTTACTGCCATGCCAAAAAATCTCAATTCAAATGATAATGGATCTGCAATGTTGACTTTCAGAAAACAACTAGTTGCGTCTCTCAAAAACGGAAGGAGTGATAAGAGTAGTAAAAACATTTTTACGCAGTTTGAACAGGGTGACGAGAAGTAAAAACATTTTTACGTAGTTTAATTTAAACAGGAAGATCCAACCTTGTGAGATCATTCCCTGTTGAATAAACCATGTTGGGAACTTTTAGAGATGCATACTTAGGTGATATACGTCCCAATGTCCCGTATTAACTTGCATGGACCAAGGATGGAAGAATAAACAGCAATCTACAACTTTAAGAAGATCATTTTTTATTGAAAATCGTAAAAGGCAATGAGTCTCATGAAGAGCCAACAAAAAATATACATAGTTTTGTAAATAAGAAAAATCCAAAAGAGCTTCAACAGGGTGCAAACCGGAGTACATGCAGAGAAGCAAAAATGACACACAAAAAATATCTTTAGAATTGACCAAAAAAGTCCAATGATTGCAGCAAACCCTATAGGCCGCACAAATAAACTGCTTAAAAGAAGGGAAAAAAATGCTTTCATGGTCACAAACACCTCACTCCTTGAAATGAAGTCCTATACCTCTCCTTCCATAGACAACAAAAGAGGCATTAAGGACACACTTCTTAAACTACATCCTCACTTGCTCACTCTAGACCAGCAACTGGAGTCCAACAACTCTTAACACAAACTTTGGCATAAAACACGCCATCTGACAGAGGCAAAATGTAGCACGGACACAGACACGGGACATGACACGGACACGACACGGACACTCTATTCTTACATTGTGCTAATCTAACATGTATCGCCCTTAATGCCAGCCATGCTTCGCCGTGGAAAAAATCATCGCAGCCACTCTATGGGAACATTTACTCTGGTGAAAGTTTCCTACAATTGAAATGCAAAATGTCATGCTTTTTGGTAACTATACAGTGCTATTCCTAGGGATCAAAATCTACGTATAAATCTACGTATATCCCATGATCTACGTATATCCCATGATCTACGTATATCCCAAATTTTAGTTGACTTGTATAAATCTTTCTTAGCCAGGCTTAAAATATAACCCTAATAAGCCCTCATCTATAAACAGGGTTTTATTTCACATCTTTTGGTCAAACGACTACTGCAGTAACATTTCAAATCAAAAATTAATTTGACAATGCTAAAGACTTAGTGATTCCGATAAAGTGCTAATGCTTCACACTTAAAATGTTGTTTGGCACTTGAATAAGGTCTAGAGGAGATTTAGCCCTCAAAATGGAAAAGAATTTGCTTAGGATTGATAACATAACATGACAGAGATTATGAATTGTTCATTTTATTCAATTAAACCAGTACACATTTGCTTTATGCCAATCAATTCTGCAATCAATATAATAATCAATTAGACACACAAAAGGATTCCCTTTTTCTTTTCTTTTTTGCTTCTTCCTGTCGAAAATCAAAATGTACAAAAACCACAGGACCCCGTAGCCAACCAATTCACCATTAGTAAGGGAAAAAAAAAAAAGAAGCAACCCAACCCTAACCCAGTTCATATGCCTTAGGTGTTGAATCCTAAAACTTGTTAGCGTGTTTCTTATACCACTAGAAATCGGTGATGTTTGTTCCTGAATGGTTGGTAGAGTATCAAGCATCCATGATACTCTATGAATTCACCACAAATTAAACGCGATCCACCATTGACTAGGAAATCACCAAAACAAACTTAAAATGTATTAATCAATTGATAGTGCAAGCGAATATGGATGCTTCTCTTATTTGACAAATTTATTTTGGTTACAACTAGTTTAATTCCCCTCCCGTACGAAATTGCTAGTCCATTTTAACTATTCCAAACATCCCAAAAAAATCATCTATGTTTTTTTATTTATTCTTTCTTTCAATTTGTAGGAAAAAAAAATACATTATTTATTGACCCTACTAAAAGGCATGAATGCTGAAAATTGACAAACAGTTGGGGATGGAACGAGTATTTATAAATGAGATGACTTAAAGACCAATCCCATCCAAAATCCAAGTTAAAACCACCTTAGACTTTGCAAAATCGTTGGCCACTGCTCGAGCCATGAAAATCCCTGGAGATTGGGTGTCTGCTTCCACTTGAGATCTCAGTTTTTTAATAGATGGAAACAAAGTTGATTAAAAACTCACAATTTTCATACAATGGAAGATTTTTTCTTTCAAGCTTCTCCCTTAGCTATCCTTCAAGTCAAAAGTTTTCCTATAAAAAATTGGATATGTTGTGGCTAAGATTTTTCTTTATACTTTTGTTTGGATTTGAATTGCTTTCATATGTATTTTTTCTTCTATGATTTTGCTAAGCAGTCAAGTCACACAAGGAGGGTTCTTTCCATTCTAGTTGCTCCCAATATGCATTATTATTTCTTCTACGATTTTGCTAAGCAGACACAAAGGAGGAATAAAATGATTGATATTTGCTCCCAATAGGTATTATTTCTTCAATTGTGATTTTGAAGGTTGGAGCTAGTCCTCCTATGCATTTATACATCAACTTCTCAGCACACCAAAATCCCATCCAATCAATTTCCATTTGATTCAAATTCTTGTTAGCCCTCCAACACATAGGAGAATATAATGATTGATGTTGGCCCTCCAGTACTACTAAATCAATGACAGCCTAAGTTTTCTAATCCAAGATTAAATAGTTTGAGAATTCAACATGACCACCCTTAAGACAACCAACTTTATTTTGTTCATGTTGTATATCAAGGGGGAATAATGAAGGAGAATTTTCCTCTTCCCGATAGATAAAATCCAGAACGAGACACAAGGAGAAATCCCGGGCAAAAATTACATAATAGGGAAAAAGGCCAAATTATACATCAACCCATAAGCTAAATTCTTCCGGCAAATCAATCAAGAAATAAAAGAAAGAGATTCCTAATAGTATTTATCAAAAGAGAGAGAGAGAGAGAGAGAGAGAGAGATTCCTAACAGTAATCTACGTTACACGGACTCGGGTGCGGATATCGGGTACGGGTGTGCATCTAAGGGTCGGACACTTTAAAATTAAAAATTAAAAATACGTGGATACGGATCCAAATTAGGATACGGATACGGAGATACGTTAAATAGTTATTTTTAAATATATTTATTATATGAAGATGAGTTTAAAAAGTTTAAGGAATAACAAATTTTATTAAAAAAAATAACAAATAAATAATGAATAAAAATTATAAACATTATTTTAGACATAAAATAAATTATATTATATATGATAAAATAAATTATTTTAATTTTAGACATAAAAGTTATGTTATTTATGATATATTATATTATATAATATTTTTTTGAATAAATAATATTATATAATATGAATAATATTATATTAATATAATTTATATTATATATAATTCAAATTATATTAAAAAGAAAAGTCAGAGACCTATAGAAATAAAAATTGTGTTAGCTTCGCAGAGACGACGGAAGGGGAAGACGACGAAGAGAGTCCGAGATCGAGATCAAAGGGGAAGACGACGAATCACAGTACATCGACTTCGCAGATCAAGCTTCGCAGATCGATCAACTTCACAGATCGATCGATGCTCTGCAACCGATTGAAGTCGAAGGCCAGGTTCTCCCCTTGCTCTCTTCTCTTTCGATTCTTCTGCCGTATCCGTTTCTAAGAAGCCGTATCCCGCACCCGTACCCGTGTTGTCTCGACACAGGTACCTTCGAAATTCCAAAGACTCCGTGTAACATAGGTAGAGGGAAAGAAACTTAAGGCAACAGAAGATGGGCAACCCACAAACACTCATCCACAGGAGCCGAAATACATAAAGAGAGGCTAGGACAACCCTCACAAGGGTCGACTAGGCCAGAGGGGCATTCGGCTGAAGTCGAAACAGCTATATGGGACCTTGGTTGGTTCCGACAGAGACTCAGGGACCAGCGATACAGGATGGGTGGTGATAGGTGATGGCTGGTTGGTGGTAGCGGCTGTGTGAGTGACGGTTTTTAGGGTTTTGGCTACCATATAATTTAAGAGAATACAAAGCTTGAGTGATGATTATGAAATCATCACCTTTTATATTAATCAATCAACTATTACAAAAGGAAGCCCTAAGGCAATGATTAAGGAATCACCTTTTATATTGATTGATTGACTGATTGATTAAGGAATCACAATCAATCAATCACAATCACAATCACAATCTAATCTAAATAAGGAAATATTCTAACAGCTTCTGCTACTATAACACCCATCTCAAATCATAACAATTGTTTACTTTGAGCTAGGCCCTCAAGGGTTTAAAGCATGTTGTTACTTGGAAGGAATATGAACTCATTTATATAGCCCAGGAACTTCTCCTACCTAGACGATGTGGGATGGAATGTGATGTACAATAATGAAAGTGAATTCACTTATATAGCATACTTAACCTAAAATAATAACCATATAAAAATTCCTTGACAAGGAGGAGTAATGCCCTTGGACTACTGCACGTACTTGAGTCAATAAAGGTGAACACTTTTGCAAGTGTCCCAACAATTGTTGGGCAAGAATGGACATAAGAGCATAGTCAACAAGTATTCATTATTGTCTAAACATCTATTCAACATCAAAATTGCCAAGTGAAAGAAATGTCCTCAATATCATTACCTTCCATTTGGGCAAGTGTACTAATGAAGTTTTACCAGTAAATACACTAGCTATGTACTAAATTGAGAGGAGGGAAAGATGAATTGACCACTCACAATACCCATAATTACTGTAAAATCCAATGACAAATTAGCAGACGTTAATCAAGTTTTTGAATATTCTACTGAAATCAAACCTTCAAGTAGCAAGGCAAGACATTGTTGATTGCCTAAATTTCAGTTTTCCCATCCTTTCTGGATAGTTCCTAGCATCCTAAATTTCTAGATGAAATAAATGAACATTCACCTTAAACATGCTTTCATATTATGCCAGCCAAACCACATGTTATGAGCATACTTGAAACAATGGCATTTGGATCCTGTATGCACAGCGACATGCAAATTGTCTTATTATTGACTATATTGACACTTACGATATTTAACTCGCAAAGACAACAATTCTTTCAGAAACTTTATTAGTCACATTACTCTCTAGATAGTTTCTGATCCAACTGAAGATGAAGCATTTTCCATGTGTCTTTTCAATAAAGTAGGTATATAAGAACAACATGCAATCATTTATTTATCTGAGCTGCGAACTCCCGTCTCTGTTATTTGTTCATAGCATGTAATGGACCTCTCTAATAATAACTAAAACAGACATGCAATGTATAACAAGTATTGAAGGCATGCACAGAGTGATCTTGTATGCTCTGTGTAAACTGAAGTCTAAATGCTTCATTAGCATGTTTTTGAACAGATACTTCATTAGCCTATTTACTAATGCCAAAATTAAGGACATTTTGCATCATCGATACTAAATGTACGTCCTGGACAAAACAAATATATAAAGGGAAGGAAGTGTCAATCATAACATATGTATCAGTAATATAGTAAGTTAGAGCTTCTCGGAGCAACAATGAACTCACCTAACATTGTTTGGGGTAAGCTCATTGAGTGTTGATTCAATAATGGTTGGGCTGAATTTAGGGGGCAAGGATGACCCCACTAGCCAATCATTAGGGGGATACCACTGCAAAATAATTTCAAACGAACAGTTGATGTCAGCAAAGCAAGTGACTGCTGAAGAAACAACAATCACTCAGACTGAGTTTGAACAGGATGAAGATGGGGAAAGAGAACAAAAATTCAACTATTTAATTTCATGTATTTGTTTAGCAGGAGAAGGGTGGAAAATACAACAAAGTAAAATATCTTATACAACCCACACCAGAATGGCAACTTTGCTTCTAGATTTTTACAAAAAAATACAGTCACTTTTTTCTCTCATTAAAGTAGCCAACTATTGTAACTTTCTCACAAAAAATTAAACCAAATGCAAATGAGAAAATAAATTTTCCTTTCACCTTTTCTTTCACTTCACTATCTATCACTTTTGTTTTCCATCATATTTTTTACTTAATCAAATGGACCCTCAAGATTCTCATTGAAAAGTTGAAGTGCAAAGCAAGAAGCCAAAGAAAGAGAAGCAGAGAAAAGCTAAACTTCTTAACTACATCTTGTAAAAAAATAAATAAAAAGTGAAAAAAAGAAGAGAGAATCAAAAACTACACTCCAGTCAATCAAAGAAACGTCTCCAGGAAATATCGAATTAGTAGTGGCTTATCTCCAAAAACCGGCTTTGTATGAATTTTACTTGTCAAAACAAGTCTAAGCTGAGATTGAGCCTAGCTCCTATGCTACTGAACCAAGCTCAAGCTCCTTGTACTTTGCCGGCTTCATCTCATTTACAGTCTAGATGAAGTGGGAACCTTCACCTTCATCTAGCACAAGTTAGCATAATAAACTGACTCAGCTTGCATAATATTCAATGATCCAAACTCATCAAGGCAAATGGTGGGTTGCTCTTAAATTATCCTCCAACAATGCTTCACTGCAAAAAGTAGCATCAATCTTTTCCTACTTCAATGGTACAAATAAAATTCCACATAAAGACTTAAATATATAAATAAAACCATCAAAGCAATCATGGCTTACTAAGCCAAACCAAGCCTTAGCAAGCTCATCAAATAAATTGAATTCTACACCATTTATAAGTGAGCTTGACTTGTGAACTGAAGCTTGTACCCTATACAGCTTTCTGTAAAGAATGCACCTCGGAGAGTAAAAAACAATAAACATCAGGAAAAGAAGAAATTATACCATTCAAAACCAATCAACCACCTCTGAATTCAAATGACAACTTTTTTTTTTTTTTTTATCAGCAAAAACAGAATTTATTGAATAGATCAAAAAAGAGGCAAGGGTGAGGCATCCTCTACAAGTAAGAAAACACAGAAAGAAAATGCATCTCCACAAAACAAAAAATAAAATCCAGAAACAACTCCTAATCCAATAACCACTTGCATATTCATGCCACCGTCATCCATCTAAGAATAATCATGGGGAGAATTTGGCTAACCATGGGCCATGCAACTTTTCAACCCCCAGTTAGCAGATAAGTGGGATCTCAAGGATGAAAAGTTCAAAGGATAAATTATTTATCAAAAAAAAGTTCAAAGGACAAATCAAAAGATGCGCAACTTATTCATTATTTCATCCTCTTGGAAAGAAGATTAAAAAAAGAAGACTATCAAGACACAGCACAAGGATGGTAACTGAGACTGGTACAACATCCAAAAAAATGAACATTCTGTTGACAAAAGAATTTGAAGAGGGTTGCACATGCTACTTTTATAAGTATGGTGGGAACCGTATGTTAAAAATGAAATTGCAATTGTCATTTCCTTTTTCCATTGTTATAAAATCCTGTTTTCTCATAAAGTTTGTACAAGAGACGATCAGGTTTGAAAGAATTTTGGTCATCATTGAAAAGAATATACAAAATAAAAATAAAGAAGATAATCCAAATTCTTAATTAAAAATCGACACAAAAATAAGAAAAGCATCTCCACAAAGGTAAATAGCCTAAAATTGCAATGCTTTCTAATGCAATATCATGCACAAGGATCAAAATTTTGTTGCAGCACGACATTTAAAAAGACTACGAAAAAGGAATATCTAGTAAACATGCCACAAATGCAATGGAAATAGCAAAAAAAACTTTGAAAGACAGGTGAACACTTGAAGCACAGAAGAAGATTTATTAATGCATATTAAAATAATTTCCAACAGCGCTATTACAGCAAAAGCACACTTAGAACAGTTTCAAAGCTGATATTCTTTTGTACTATAAAATAATCATAGACAAAATATAACGTTGTCATATGAACTCAACATTTTAACACAAGTAAAACAATTCAAAATAAAGGTCATAGCAATTAGAAACTAATATTCCAAAAGATCTTCCAGTTATTCTGATATTGGTTCACCTCTTCTCCTTATCTACTTATTCTCAAAGAAATTCGAGAATTTTTTATGCATGTGCTTTTGGATTCTAAAAACTCAACAATAAGGCTAAAAGAATAATAACCTTTTGTTCTTTTTAGACTATATTGCTGTCGACAATAAATTCAAAATAATAATAACCATCCCAAACATTTTACGAGCAATTTTCAGTTTTTTATGAAAAGTTTATTTCTATGAATATCAGCATTTTGGTTTTGCAACCAAGCTTTATTGTACTAGAAAGAAAAGACATTCAGCTAATTCCATGCAAAGAGAATTTTCATTTCTGTACAGATAAAATAGATTCAAAGAAACTTTGATGTCAAATGCGTTGTCTAATTCCCCTGCTAAAATGAATATAGAGACCATCACTCTGGTCCACTATTGCCATTTATGACCAAGCTTTGAAACCATACTGTTTAAAGTCTCATTTTCAAAAGAGATGCCTACAAAATTAGGGCCACCATTATACAGAAGCTCCAACAACTCAAGGAACTAGACTATCTAAACCAGTAAAGATCATGTTATTGCCCATAAACTACGCATGATACGAACATGCCGACACAAGAAATTTCCAAAATATCAAGACATAACACAATAGTAATCCAAAAAAGGGCTCAATATCAAATGTTTCGACTCCAAAATAAAAACTACACCTCCATTAAAGATTCTCCTGTTGTGCTCCTAGATGCATCACCAAAAACAAATCACTGAAGACTCTGGCCCATTTCTTTCTTCTTCCCTTTTTTTTTTGACAAGTAAATATATTAGAAAGGTGCCAAAAAAAGGAGCACAGTCACCACTTTACACCGGCTATGTTTGATTTCGGTTTGGATTAGGCAGATAAGATACCCCCGAATGTGTAAGCCAGGCAAAGGCATTTTAGTCATTCACATGCAAAAGAGTTATCCCCGGTTTAACTGTCCCACCCCTAGGACAAAATAATCCCTCATATGTAGGTAAAGGGGTCACGTGGGATTAGCTATTCTGAGCAACTTTTGCAGTACCAAATGTGGGATTATTTACGAAACAACACAAGGATGAGGGAGGAGTCACAAGTCACTACATCTTAGTTGCCAACTTCATATGCAAATGGAAATACAGCATGAGTTACGTCAGACAGATCAGTAACAAAGGCACATACGCTTCCACAGTTCACCATTAACAGTTGGCCTCTGAAAACTCCCACTAATAAAAGCCAACATAACTTGATCATTCATTTAAGAATGGAAGTCAATGGCTTTCATGGATGAAATAAATAGACTTGGTTATCAAAAAGAGGACAAAACATGTTCTTCTTCTCATGCAATATATATATATATCTCGAGCTTTTTTTCTCTTGCTAAAAAAATAAAAGAACAGAATTCGATGTACATCATGTACTAAACAAGCTCTTAAATACTTAAGACTGATAATTAAACAGCCAAGACATAGATAAAAGATACTTGCAAACTGCCTTCAGACACAAAGAAAGAAAGAAAAAAAAAAAATTCAATGAAAAGGAAACCACAGTGCAATCAATTTCAGAATCGGAAATTACGAGATTACTAGAATGTTCTACGAGAATTTCACACAAATTCTACAAATACAAGTTGAGAATTCAAACAACTAAATTTGGCACAATTAATATGTATATATGTAAATATATAGCACATATTATGTATGTAAAATTACTAACCCCGTCAATTGTGTCAATTAATATGTATATATGTAAATATATAGCACATATTTATTGATAAGGATGGGGGCCTATTAAACTACTGCCATCAACATCAAATTGCAAAATTAACACCAACTTATATTTACATATGTATCCACCGAAATTTTCCATTATTAGGGTGAGCAAGTTTGATTATCGTGCCATGTCAAGTTTTGATACATTTTTTTTTGAAACATGATTTAATTTTTATTTTTAAATAGATCCGGCTGTATAAATAAATAATGTAACAAAAGGACATAATGTTGAGATTAGGATTTATGGAAACTAGTACTAAGTACATAAGGTTGAGATTAGGGTTTCAAGGAAATGGATTCCCCAAAATCAAATTATGAAAGGTTGGTCCCCCTAATGCAATCCTTGAAGTCTGCAACTTTTCCTCAAGTCACAAAAGAGATAATCATAGTAAACCAAAAGCATTTTAGATTCTCAAAAGCCTATACCCCAAGCCCATTAAACTAAAATAATCAACCCAAACAAACTTTTTAATCCCAACTAAAAAAAATCTCAACTCTAAAAAGCCAATTAAAATTTTTTTTGCCAAACCACAACATAATATAGATATAATATTTATTGGTGGGCCAGTTTTCTAATTGAATCTTTGTGTAATGGGTGCAAGCCACGCACCCATTAAACTGAAAGACTAAAATCTTTATTATCTGCTTGGTTTGTATGATATTTGGTAGCTTACCTAACTTAGTGTGATTTGATTGTTTCCATCATGTAAACAAAAATTGGATGTAAAACACAGAAAATTTTCTATTGTTGATAGATTACCCTTTGGGGCTTTGTCATTGAAAAGATGAATATTATCAGAATTTGATATGGAAAAACAAAACCATGGTGTATTAATTTGTTAATCTACTCTCAGAAAGACACAGCATCGTGGGGATCAAAGGGCTGAACCTGTCAAACTTTGAGCAGTCAATGGCACCAACAAGTGTAATTCAAGATTTCCGGTATATATATGAACTATCGTTTTTATTCCGTTTTTATTATGTCCATGTTATCTTAGGTTAACAACAATGTGATTTGGGATTGCAGGATTCAAAATAAAGGCGAAAAAGATACTTGCAAACTGCAATCAATTTCAGACACAAAGAAACAAAGAAAAAAAAAAATCAATGAAAAGGAAACCACAGTGCAATCAATTTCAGAGTAGGGAATTTACGAGATTACCAGAATGTTCTACGAGAATTTCACACAAATTCTACAGATACAAGTTGAGAATTCAAACAACTAAATTTGGCACAATTAATATGTATATATGTAAATATATAGCACATATTATGTATGTAAAATTACTAACCTTGTCAATTGTGGCGAAAATGGACATGTTCCGTGACCTCCCAATCCCCAGCCGCCGACTCAGCGCAGACGACATCCGGGTGGATGCCGCCACAGCAGGAAGAAGCGATTTCCTCCCAATCGTTGTTTTAAACTTTTTTTCCCCTAAACGTCTCTCTCTCCCCTCCCCCATTCCCCCCTCTCTCTCTCCCCCTCTCTGTTTCTCTCTCTAGGGTTTCCCTGCCCTCCCATGGCTTCTCACCTCTCTTCTCTGTGCAGGTTTCTCTTCAAATCTCTCTTTCTTCGAAGCCGTTTTGGGAATCTTCAACGTTTATGGAGTGAGAGACATGGTGAATTCACATAATTTGACGGGGGACGATGCTGGATCTATCGTTGGGGAGAAGAGAACGGAGAGGACGTTGAATTGGGGGTTCCGTTGCCGAAGAAGGCGAGGAATGGAGGCGGATTGGTTGGGAATGTGAAGAAAGTGGAAGAGGAGGAGGAGTTCTCGCCGTCCATTCTATAGAGAGAGAGAGAGAGAAACCCTAACCAAAACTTTGCAGAGAGCGATAGTGGGTTCGGGATGTGAGCTAAATCGCAAATGAGGAGAGAGGAGGATAAAAAGATATAGCCGTTGTTGGTGCCAAACACACCCCTCAAAATTCTAATAAAAATTATGGTAACCAAATTCTTTTGAAATTGTAATTTTAAGAAAAAAATTCAAAATTCTTTTTCAAATGTATAACTAAGTACACAACTCAAAATTTAATTTAAAATTCTTTTCAAAACTCATAACTAAATTTTTTTTAAAATTTTATTTAAAGAAAAAAATTTTTAAATATTTTTTATTTTATGTTTTAAAATAATGATTTTATTTTTTTTAATTTCAAAAAAATTTGGATGGCCATATATATCTGAACCATAACAAATTATTTGGCCAATACTTAAAAAAATAAGGGCGAATTACAAACACCCCCTCGAGATTTGGTGAAAATACAGATTCCCCCTGAGGTTTGAAAAATTACATCCTGCCCCCTGAAGTTTATATTTCCATAACAAATTGCCTCCTGAGGTTTTTATTTTCATACAGATTCCCCTATAATTTGTTATGCAAATTTGACCTTTAGGGGACAATTTATAATTTCTCAAACCTTAGGGAGGAATCTGTATTTTTACCAAACCTCGAAGGGGATGTTTGTAATTTGCCCAAAGAATAACAAAAAATTTAAATACCATATAAACAATCTCTAATAGAATGAATAAATTTTTTTCTAAAAAAATAATAGAGAATAAAAGATGAGAAAATAATCAAGTATATATCTTTTATACTAAGATGCTATTTTATTTATAAAATAATGCATACATATATATATATATTTAGAAATACTATGGAAAATAAAATTTTTACAGAGACAGAAGGGTCATGACCCCTCATAATCTTCTCCTAGTTTTATCCCAGCACACATACACTCACCTCATTCTTTTAATAAAAAAAAAAGATTATCTTTGTATTTTAAAATTTATTTTATTTTATTAAAATATATTTAATATTTAATATACAAATTCTATTTTTATAAAATTGATATTGTTCTAAAAATATATTTAAAATTTTAAAATGCAACTAATATTTCACATATTTAATAAAAATTTAAATTAATAATCTAAAATATATAAAAATTTATAGAATTAAAATAATTTGTATGACTTAAGTTAATATAAATAATAAATTACTTTTCTAATATTAAGTTAATATAAATAATAAATTACTTTTCTAATTAATATATATAATTAATATATATATATATATTGGTAGGAGAAATCGTTTAGAATAATACAAATGTAAATAAAAATATATTAATTCAAACCACGCAAATAATAACTCAAACCAAAATAATAATATAATAAAAAAATATGGGCCATGTTTGATCCTACACACAAAGTAAGACTTGCACCCACACAAACTAAACTCACACTTCACATAGACTAGACTTGTATCCCTACACATATTAGACTTGCACCCCATACCTTACATAGATTAAACTCGTGTCCTATATAGATTAGACTTGCATCCCTACACAGATTCAACTTGCACCCCTCACAAATTAAACTTGCACTTCACAGTAACTAAACTTTCACCTCTACACAGATTCAACATACACGCCAACACAGACTAGACTTGTACTACTACACAGATTTGACTTGCACACTCTACGCATACTGAATATGCATCCCTACACAGACTAAGGTCTCGTTTGGCAAGTGGTGATTTTAGTCAAAAAGCTAAAAAGTCACTAAAAAAATCAAAAAACCAACATTCTTAGTAAATTACACAGTAAATTCCCAGTAAATTCAAAATAAATTACTTAGTAAATTCCCTGTAATTTCACAGTAAATTAATCCGAAAATTCCCGATAAATTCTTAGTAAATTACTCCGTAGATTCCTAGTAAATTCTCAGTAAATTCCATTTAAATTCTCAGTAAATTAATTAACAAATTCCTAGTTAATTTCCAGTAAATTACTTTGTAAATTCTCAGTAAATTCCCTATTTCCAGCAAATTACTTAGGTCTAGTTTGGGAAGACTAAATAAGTGCACTTTTTGACTTTTTATAAAATATGGGTTGGGTTTGGGTTGGGTTTGAAGTGATGTGTTAGAGAGGTGATGTGACTTAAATAAGATGATGTGACTTAAATAGGATAGTGACTTTTTGACTTTTTGTCTTTTTTCAATCATGCCAAACTTAGCCTTAGTAAATTCCTTGTAAATTCACAGTAAATTTCGAGTAAATTGTCATTAAATTACTCAATAAATTCCCTGTAAATTCTCAGTAAATTACTCAACAAATTTTCAGTAAATTACTCAGTAAATTCCTAGAAAACTACCCAATAAATTATCAATAAATTACTCCGTAAATTTCAAGTTAATTCTCAGTAAATTACTCAGTAAATTCCCTTCAAATTCGCAGTAAATTTTCAGTAAATTCTCAGTAAATTACTCAGTAAATTCTCAGTAAATTACTTAATAAATTCCCAGTCAATTCTAAGTATATTACTCAGTAAATTCGCAGCAAATTCCCAGAAAATTTTCAGTAAATTTCATATAAATTCTCAGTAAATTACTCAGTAAATTTCAATTAAATTCTCAGTAAATTACTCAGTAAATTTTCAGTAAATTCTCGTTAAATTCTCAATAAATTACTCAGTAAATTTTCAGTAAATTCGAATTAAATTACTCAGTAAATTCCCAGTAAATTACTTAGTAAAATTCCAATAAATTTTCTGTCAAATACGTAGTAGATTGCCAATAAATTCTCAGTAAATTACTGAGTAAATTCCCAGTAAATTCTCACTTGATTAATCAGTAAATTCCTAGAAAATTCCCAGTAAATTACATAGTAAATTACAAGAAAATTACTCTGTAAATTCCCAGCGAATTCTTAATAAATTACTCAGAAAATTCCTAATATTCTCAAAAAATTACTCAGTAAATTTACAGTAAATTCTCATAAAATTACTTAGAAAATTCTCAATAAATTCCCATTAAATTACTCAGTAAATGTCCAGTAAATTCAAAGTAAATTAATCAGTAAATTACTCAGTAAACTCCTAGAAAATTTTCAATAAATTCTTATTAAATTCTCAGTAAATTACCAGTAAATTCTCAGCAAATTTCCAGTAAATTGCTAGTAAATTCTCACTATATTCTCATTAAATTACTCAGTAAAATCATGATAAATTCTTAGTAAATTACTCAGTAAATTTTCACTACATTGTCAGTAAATTATAAATAAATTACTCATTAAATTCTAAGTAAATTACCCAATAAATTTTGAGTAAATTACTCGGCAAATTGCTCAGTAAATTCCCGTTAAAATCTCAGTAAATTACTTAGTAAATTCTCATTAAATTACTTAGTAAATCCGCAGTATATTCTAGGTAAATTCTAGTAAATTACTCAGCAAATTACTCAGAAAATTCCTATTAAATTCTGAGAAAATTACTAAGAAAATTCTCAGGAAATTCTCAGTAAATTCCCAGTAAATTCTCAGTAAATTTCTAATAAGTTACTCAATGAATTCCGAGGCAATTCTCATTAAATTTCTCAGTAAATTACAAGGTAATTCTCATTAAATTGCACAGTAAATTTCTAATAAATTCTCAGTAAATTATTTAGTGAATTCTTAGTAAATTACCCATAAAATTCTAATAAATTCCCAGTAAAAACATCTGTAAATTTTCAGTAAATTACTCAATAAATTTTCAGTAAATTATCAGTAAATTCTCATTAAATTACATAGTAAATTTTCAGTAAATTCTTAGTAAATTTCCTAGTAAATTCTAATTAAATTAATCAGTAAACTCCCAGTAAATTCTCATTAAATTACTCAGTAAATTCTCAGTAAAGTGCACAGCAAATTTCAAGTAAAATACTCAGTAAATTTTCAATAAATTCTCAGTAAATTCCTAGTAAATTCTCAGTAAATTACTAAGTAAATTCCAAGTAAATTCTCAGTAAATTACCATTAAATACTCAGTAAATTCCTAATAAATTCTCAGTAAATTACTCAGTAAATTCTCATTAAATTACTCAGTAAATTTTTAGTAAATCACTCAGTAAATTCTATGTAAATTCCTAGGAAATTCTCCGTAAATTACTCAGTACATTTAAAGTAAATTCTCAGTAAATTTCCAGTAAATTACTTAGAAATTCCCAATAAATTTCCAGTAAATTTTTGATAAATTACTCAGTAGATTTCCTGTAAATTCTCAGTAAATTCCCAGTAAATTACTGAGTAAATTCTCAGTAAATTCTAAGTAAATTCTCAGTAAATTGCTTTGTAAATTCCAAGTAATTTACTCAGTAAATTATCATAAATTCCCAGTAATTTCTCAGAAAATTACTTAGTAAATTCCCAGTAAATTCTCTATAAATTTTAAGTAAATTACTCAGAAAATTAACAGGATATTCAAGGTAAATTCTCAGTAAATTACTAAGTAAATTCCAAGTTAATTTTCAGAAAATTACTCGTTAAATTCCTTTTAAATTCTCCGTAAATTACTCAGTAAATTCACAGTAAGTTCTTATTAAATTAATCAGTAAATTCCCTGTAAATTCTCAGTAAATTCCCTGTAAATTACTCTGTAAATTTCCAGTAAATCATCAGTATATTACTCAGTAAATTCTCAGTAAATTACTGCATAAATTTCCAGTATATTCTCAATAATTTACTCCGTAAATTCTTAGTAAATTACTCAGTAAATTCCAATTAAATTCTCAGTAAATTCTCATTAATTTTTTAGGAAATTAGTCAATGAATTTCAGTAAATTCTCATTAAATTATTTTGTAAATCCGCAGTAAATTCTTAGTAAATCCTGGTAAATTCGTTGTAAATTCCCAGTAAATTACTCAGTAAATTCCAAGTAAATTCTCAGTAAATACTCTGTAAATTACTTAGTAAAGTGCCAAAAAAATATAAGTAAATTACTTAGTAAATTTTCAGTAAATTACTTGTAAATTTCTAGTAAATTACTCAATAAATTCTCATTAAATAACTCAGTAAATTCTCAGTAAATTTTCAGTAAATTA